GTATGGTACACCTGGCTATCATCCTAGCATTCAGAAGGCTAAAGGAGAAGGATCACCTTGAGTTCGAGGCCAGCCTGGGCTACATAGTGAGTTCAAGGCCAGTTTGAACTACATAGCAAAACCCCGTCACAAAACAAAACAAAACAAAACAGAACAGAACCAGCTCTTTGATTCATAGATTCTTTATATTTTTTAAAAAGCGTAAATAGGTTTTTACACCCTGCGTGTTTTCTGCTTTTTCACTAATTCCAATTATTAGTCCTCTTTGAGTCATCTAGGAGCTAGCTGTTGAGTCCATTTTTCATGTTCCTTTGTTGTTTTTAAGGTATCTCTCACTAACTGATCATTGATCACAGCCCTGACCTCTAGGTTTGACACTGTCTTCGCAGTGGCCACTTCTGCTACCCATACTTTCAATGTCCTGGATTTCTGTTTGGAACTTTCTTATGGACTGCCATTCTTTTTTATGCTGGGCATTCATGTTTTGCATCTCTTTCTTTAGCTCCACTAGCTGTTTATTAGTGTCTTCTTTAGACTCACTGATCATTTGTTTCATTACTATCATTATGTGATTAGTTATATCTTCTTTAAATTTGCCAAGCACCTTATAGAACTTTTACCTCCATTGGTACCCTTTCAGACCTATCTGTTATGTAACTTATGACTTTTTCCCCTCAATGCTTCCTGTACTGATTTGGAGGGAGTTGAGAGTTTTGGGAGACATTTTGTTGTCTTCCCTTTTTCTGGTTTGTGTGTGTGTGTGTGTGTGTGTGTGTGCTGGGGTTTGTAAATTCTTTGGCCCAGTGCTCCATTTTTCAGGAGTGAGCCACAGTATTGTTTATGATCCCAGCCCAACCCTGACAACCCAAGTATTGACATAGAGAGAAAAACAACTGCTATATGTTACCTTTTCTACGGTAGTAAATTCACAGCAGCAATTGCATCAAATGTCAATTGGATAGTGACAAACCCTAGGAACCACTCCTAAACAGCCCTCTACTAAAATAAAGATGACTCTGATTTTAGTGAAGATAATTAGTCCCTCCTTATATTGACCTATAGTAATTCAGAGCAATGATTTCTGCTGGATGTTGGCAGCAGTGCCAGAGCTCAAACATATCACTAGTCTATATGCCTTCTTTAGGACTGCCCTCTCTGATGACCATTCCCACCAAACCTGGCCTCCCACAACAGAATACAGGCCCTGTGATCTTCCTGGTCTAAGCCCAGGCCCCCCAGGGGATCCCAAGTTATTCCTACTTAGCTTTCACCCTCTCTAAGCCTATCTCTCACCAGGTCTCTGTGGAAAATGTATTACTTCAGTCCTGATGCAAAACTCTCACCTTGGGTGTTGGTCTCTTTGATCAGGTTGGTCTGTTAGCTGTCAATTCTATTGCCCTGTGCTGTGGAGAACCCAGATGCCTGGGTCTACAGTTCCTGGGTCCTCCTAGCACTAGTGCAAAGCAAGGTGGGCACTGGCATCAGCTGGTGATGAAGCATGGAAGTTCCTGGGTACTCCTTTGTCTAGCATGGGACTCTGGTGGGTAGCAGCAGCAGCAGCTCCGGACAGGGGACATACTTCCCAGGACCTCCTCTGACTTGATAATTTAAAATGTTTTACTTTTCTTTCTTGTCTCTGCTTGATCAAATCTGCTATGGAACTCCTCTAATAAATTTTTCTTTTTTTTTTTATAGTTCTGGGCACTGAACCAAGGGCCTTTACACTGAGCTACACCCCCAGATTTGATTGGATTGATCAACTGGTTGATTTATAGTCTCTTGCTAAATCTCAAAAGTTGTCCAGGCTGGCCTGAATTTGCAGCCTTCCTGCCTCAGCCTCCAAGCTACCAGGCCTGGCTCAAATTATTGTATTTTTCAGTGTCCATTTTCCTGATTTCACTTAGTTGTTTATTTGTGTTCTCTTGTAGTGAGATTCTATAAGGTAATATTTTGAATCATTTGTCAGGTAATTCATAGACCTGTTGTTGCTCTTGGGGATTTATTTTAATCCCTTGATAAAGTCACGACTCCCTTTTTCTTTGTGTGTATTATTTTTATGCTTTCATGCATTATGAAAAAAAGAAAAAAAACCTAATCACTTCTAGTCTTTCCAGATTGGATGCATACAAAAGAAGACCTTCACCAATCACCCCAGCTAGAGACTTGGAATCCTTCGGGTCTTTTCCAGGAATGTTTTCTCTGGGCTTGTGAATGTAGTTTTTCATTTGGAGAACTTTACTGTTTTACTTTTCAAGGGCTTATAATCTTTTTGCTCCCTCTCGTGTCTGTCTGAGGTACTCTTGGTTCTCTGGTGCTGTAACAGGCTGCCGAGTTCTCTTGTTCTTCATGACTCCAGGCACCCAAAGTATGCCAGTCTCCTGTCCAAACTAGTACTTAGTGAGTACTTTATTTGTTATGAGTACTCAATAGAGGAACTGGTGAGTTGAATGGTGTGATGGCTTGTGTCTTGATGTCCCCTCAAAGCCTCATGCAGTCATAGGTGGAGCTTTTTCTGGAATTGATTCATGGTGCAATGCTAGGCTCAAGGACACTAGGATTGAGGGTGTGAGTGCTACCTGCCCTAAGTGATCTGCATAAGATAAAAGGGGCAGAAAGACCCTGTTGAGGGTCTTTCCCATTCTCTTGCTGCCTTTGTTGTCTTCTACTGTGAAGGAAGGCTCCTCTGCCACCCTGCCTTGGAGCCAGCCAATTATGGACTTAAACCTCTATAAATTGTAAGTCAAATAAACCTTTCTCCCTTTAACTTTTAGTGTCAGGTATTTTGTCTCAGCAAGGACAGAAAAGTAACTAAGACACATGGCAAGTGTTTGGTTAACTCTAAAATGAACTGTTTACCAAAGTGGTTGTTTTACCTTACATTCTCAAAAGCAGTATGTAAGAAAATACACATCTTCTTCAACACACACTAATGTGTTTTAAATTTTAGTCATGAGAGAATATGCAGGGTGGTTATCACATTTGATTTCTTATTTTTTTAATGCATTAAAACATAATAGTTATATAGACATTTGTAAGTGGTAACAATGCACTGACATTAATTCATGTGCTGTCTTCTCATTACTACCATCTATACTCAAAAGTTTTAATTGTCCCTAATATAAACACAGAACACATTTTAAAAACTTCACTTTTTTCTTCCTTTTGTAGCTCCTAATAATCTCTAGTCTGTTTTCTGCCTCTATGAATGTACCTATTCTAGGACTTAAACCATTTATCTTTTGTGTCTGGCTTATTTCACTAAGCTTGAATGATGCTTTCAAGGCGTACCTATATTTTTACATATAAAAAATTGTATTCTTTTTTATAGCTGCATAGTATTCTACTGTATGTATATAATACATTTTTATCCATTCATCTGTTGATAAGATACTTGGGTTGTTTCTACCTTTTAGTTACTGTCACTAATGAACACTGGCATACAGATACCTGCTCAAGTTCTTGGTTTCAGTTCTTTTGGATGTAAATACCTATAGCAGTGGGTTTTCTGAGTCACACAGTAAGTCCATGTTTAATATTTTGGAGGGAATGTCAAACTCTTTTTCACAGTGCCTCCACCATTTTATATTTTCCAATTTCTTTGCATCCGTACACTTACTTTTCCATTTCTTTTTTAAAACTGTTACTATACTCATCCTATGGGTATAAAGTGGAATTTCATTGTGATTCTGAATTACATTTCCCTAACAATTAGAGGTGACCAGCATCTTGTGTGCTTATTAGCCAATTGTGTATCTTCTTCGGAGGAATATCTACTCAAGTCCTATATCCCTTTTTTAGAGTGTGGTACTAGGGATTGAACGTAGAGTCTCACACATGCTAGGTAAGTGCTTTACCAATGAGCTACATAAATTCCTAGCCCGAAAGTCCCTAATTTTAATACCGACTTATCTATTTTTCTCTGTGGCATTTCTAAAAAGTTATTACTAAATACAATGTCAAGAGAATTTTTCCCAATGTTTTCTTATAAGAATTTTATAGTTTACTGTAAGGATTAGGTGCAATTCCTAAAGCTGAGAGGGCAAAGACCTTTTGTTTTGTTTTTTTGAGACAAGGTCTTGCTATGTAGTCCGGGTTGGCCTTGAACTCATTATGTAGCCCAGGCTAGCCTTGAACTCATGGCAATTCTCCTGCCTTGGCCTCCCAAGTGGGGCATGTGTCTCCATGCTTGGCTTCCAAAGACTATTTCTGATACAGCTTTAATTAGCAATAGTTTCAAGAAAATTCAGAAAAAGTTTTCAGTCACCAGATTCCCTTGGTTAATGATTTGTTAAAAATGAAATGCTCACCAATGAAAACAACTCTGAATACTTTTACAGAGTGAAGAAACATTTGTAATGTGATTAATTGCCTTTTACTTTGTCTGAATCTATTGGATTTGTTTAGTTTAGAGTTTGGAACATTATGTTTCTTTTTTTTTTTTGGTACGGGGGATTGAACTCGGGTCCTTGTGCTTGCGAGGCAGGTGGCGGAACCATTGAGCTAAATCCCTGGCCCTATTAATGTTTCTTAAAATAGATTATATGCACACATCAAATAACTGTTGCCTTGTAGATATCCTATGTGTGCACGTGCACGCACACACATGCACACACACACAGTGGTAGGGAGCAGGCAGAATGGGAGCACACATTTGCATCTGTACATATTCTTCTCTTACACACTAAGGAATTCCAAGATGAGCCACAGTGGTCCTTTTCTTTTGTATTCCTTACTGTATATATAAGAGCCTTTAGCTTAATGGGTACACAAAAGATGTTGCATGATTTGCTTATTGCCTTACGAGAATTGAGAAAATAGTGACTAAAAAGAAAGTTTGCAAAAACCCATCAATTTGACATGTATCCCACTAAAATAATCTCTCCACAAAGAATATAACCATACCTATAAACATGCATTTCCTATGAATCAGAGCATTTTTCTCATAACTGAGCTGATACATTTTGAAACTGGAAAAGAGGGATGTTTAGTTTAACACCTACCGCCTTTGAGTGTTAAATCCATTAAGATGACTCTCTCTCAGTTTGGACACTAATGATAAAACCACCTGTGAAACAAAATCAGTTGCACGTTAACTTGAGCTGCAAACAGGATTACATCAGTTCTATTTTTCTTGGTGTGAGTGATATTTCTGTTGAGATTCCTCTCTCCCACCTTCTCCTTACGTTTTATTTTGTTAGAGTGAAAAGAGAGCAGTGCCAAGTCACATTTACTAATAAGGTAGACTTCATGTTTGTTTATTTTCTGCATTCCTACATAGGGAATGAACAATAGACAGATCATTAATTTCCTAAGAATTAAAACCAAATCCATATAGAGTTAAAAATGCAGTTAGCTTATTGTTTCTTTTTAAATTTATTTTTAAAATGCTTTTCATGTGTAATACTTCCATACAACCAAAACGGCTAACACACATTAAAAATCTCATAACATTTTTTTAGAAGTTATGGCAAGATAATAAATTAAAATTTCTTGAATTTGGCTAAAATTATAGGCAGAAGTAATCATAGCTTAAATACTAAGATGTAAATATATAATACTATTTTCAAGGTTGTTTATTGAATTTTCTGCCATATTTTAACATAAATTGCAACAAGTGTATTTTAAATACAAGATGTGTCCAGCAGTGCAAGACTATGTTCCTAGTTTAGAAATTCTCTTGTCTCCCAAATCTTTAAATAAGGAAGTGAGATGTGTTATAAGAAAGAGAGGTTGACTAAAACCTTTCCTGGTTTCCTTGTTCTTTCTCATAACCTTCCATTTCTCAATTCTTCCCTACACGGCCATGAGTCTGACCAAGGTAAGAAAAGATAAACAAAGAAAAGTTAAACAATTCCCCTGGAGGAGTGAAGTGTTTCCATTTATCCTTTGGCTGATGGTACATTCAACAATGAAAATTTCACTACTAATACATTTAATATACTCACATTTTTAAGCAAAGCAGGGTAGTAATCTACAGGCTCATATCCAAGACCTTGACTGAAAAGACCAATTTCTTTTATATCAAATCTGAATGTAGAAAGTATATGAGACAACAAGCCCTAAAAATGTAAGCAAAAAGGAATGGTTAATGTCTTAAAGTGAATGAAACTGTTCGTTATATACTGTATCTAGAATCTGAGTCATTTGTAAATGGGATGGTCTCTATGAAACCAGTAATCCACCTTTGTCATCTACTTTGATTCAAAATGCAAAGAAGAAATAACTTAGTGTTAAAATTAGTACATTAAAAATAAATAAATTTAAGCAAATGTGAGCAGTGAAACAAAAATATATCTAATGAACAAATAGTGCTTAACTATATTAAGAACAGATAATGTGAAATAGGAAGAAAAGGTCCAAAGGGGAAAGGGAAGGGGAAGGGGAAGAGGGAGGGGTAGGGGAAAGGAAAGAAGGGAAAGAAAAAAATATGAGAAAAGGAAAAAATGGAAACAAAGTCTTCCCTCGTCCATTAAGTTTATTGGTACATTTTCGGTATAAAATACAGTTACATTCATCATTGGGATCTTGTACCATTACATGAGTATCTTGGTTCTTATTTTTTTTCCCCTTCCCTTGCCCTCCCTTCACCTCCTCCACCCTTCCCTATTTGCAAAGACCTGAAACAAAGTCTTTTTAAACAGGGAGGGGTGGAGGGGTTGAAGGGAGGGCAGGGGAGTGGGGAAAAAAAAAAAAGAACCAAGATACATCATGTACAGGTACAAATTCCCAATGATGAATGTGATCATATTGTATACCTAAAATGTACCTATACACTTAATGAATAAAAAAAGAATAAGATTGTTTTAAAACTTAGCAAAATATTTTTATCAGAGTAGATATGAGAATTTAATACATGATAAAGAATACCACAAATCAGTAGGGAAAGGAAAGATTATCCAAAATATGGTGTTTGGAAAACTGACTATTTGAAACAAAAGAAGGTTAAATTCTCATCTTACGCTATTCATTAAAAAAAAAATTTTTTTTTGTACCGGGTATCAAACCTGTCAGGACCTTGTACTTGCGAGGCAGGCACAGTGCCACGGAGCTAAATCCCCAGCCCCCATTCATTAAAATTTATAGAAAGTATTCCCTGTTTGCTAGTAGAGAAATGTAAATGGGGATTTCCATTCAGGGCATGGCTGTCCACTGCCTCAAGGCACCCACAGAATGTGAACAGGTGGATTCTATCCCCAAGCTTGGACACCCAGGGCTACACTTGTCGAGATGCTTGCCACCTGAACAGGGACTCCTTGTAGGCTGACAGAGGCCTTGCCTTTTGTGCAATGCAACTTGAAAATATGTATAAAATATCTTAAAAGTATTTAGAATCTTTGATGTACCTAGCATACATTAAAGGAAATAAATCCAAATATGACAATAAGGATTATACTCAAAGGTATTCCTTATAGTGTTCATCTCATTGTAAAAAATGTCTGAAAAGAGGGGATGATTAATTTAGAATACCCTTATACAATGGCTCATTGTAAGCCATTAACATGTTTATAAAGAATTTACGACAGCATTTTAAATGGGTATACTATTAAATAAAGAAAAGAAGATGTAAAATTCCATAACCAGAAGTATTCTCATCAATATAAAGTAATCTATACATGGGAATGTAAAAATGGTGGAAGAAATGATCCCCACATGTTAAATCTCTATGGTGGTGCTAAATTGAGGATATACACACAAATATTTTTCCTTCTTTCTACTTTAGTACATTTTTCAGTTTCCCATATGTGTGATTACTTTTATAAATAAAGATTTGTTAAGTGTTTTAGTCAGAAATATTTTAAAAAATAATTTTACTGAGGTATAATTTACATGCCATAAAATTCAACTCTTTTTAAGTGTATAATTCAGTGGGGTTTTTTAGTATATTCACAGTGGGTCATTTAATTTTTTTTTTTTTTTTTGAGATTGAGTCTAGAGGTATGTTGCCCAGGCTGTCTCAAATTCCAGGGTTCAAGTAATTCTCCTGTTTCAGCCTCCTGAGTAGCTAGGACTATAGGCAGGTGTCATGGTGCCTGCAATTAGCTGTTGTTTATTTCATATTAATTAATGGCAACAGTGGTCAACTTGGGGCCGCTCTTCAAACTGGGGTGCCATGGAGGTGTCTGGCCAAGGGGAAGCCCAGCCAGACCTGGCCAGCCATCCCAATCCATGGGGAGGTGTCCAAGGCAGCCCCAGGCAGGAGAAAGAGGGGCCAGGTGGGTTTGGCTGGACCCCAGGCAGGCTCAGGGTCTGGGTCAGTCTGGGTTTTTCACAGAGGGCAATCTTATGCTAGGTGAAGGGAGGGCAGTACTGGAGGTGTTCCATCTTCTGCCACCAGACTCTTGCATTCTATTCAACAAACACTTAAAGCATTTCCTATGTAGTAGGCACTATTCCAAGTGCTTTATACACAGTGCTTTACTTAATCCTCACAGTCTATGGGTTGAGAATCCTACTGAAGATGAGGAAACTGAGACAGAGTTCAAGTAGCTTGCCCAGGAATGGCATCTATTCTGTGACCAGACCTTATATGGAACCACCCTGTATCCACGCTGCAAGACAGCTAGGTTAGTTTTTAACCATGCAAATCAGATCAATCTCAGTTTGTGATTCTGACGGCACCCAATCACTATTACTCGTGAAGCTCAAACACTTTCCCAAAGTCAAGAAGCCTGGCCCTGAATCTTTGTAGTTCTCCTCTTCCTGCCACTTAGTTGGCTTCCCTCACTAGTATACTTCGGACCCAGGAGGGCCCAGTTTCTTGTCTTTACCTGCTTAAATGACAGCTATAATTTACTGAGTGCTTAATATGTATGAGGCACTAGGCTAAATTCTCTTAAGTATGGCATCTCACTAAAAACCCCAAGTTCAGTTTTTAATCAAATTCCATTAAGCAAATGCAACCAAGCCACCCATAAACAAGTAGTTATTACTGCTGCACTTCACATGATTGGCCTTTAAAACATTGAAGCACAGGTACTTTAGAGCCCTTGTACACAACAGAAGAAAACAGTTTCACGGTGGTAGGTAACAGTTACGACAGTTAAGACTGTGATTCTTAAGCACAAGGGCTAGGCTTTCCCCTAAACTGCTACCTTCCTGGTGCACTCTCACCCTGGACCATGGACCAGCACATGGAGGATGACTTCCCCACACTGCATGAACTCTTTCAGCAGCTGAGCCAATAAAAGTCTAAAAACAAAGAAATCTAGGCATCCAATATTCTCAGAGAGTACAGTTAAGGACTATAAATAATTCCTGAGTAATGTTCAAAATAGCTACAGTTACCCAGCTACTATTTCTGACGCCTGCATTTGCACAAGCTGATTTTAAAAGTCTCCAAAAAAGTGAAATACAATAATTTCTTTTTATCTACAAGGGTCATTCCAAAACAATCAGTGGATACCTGAAACTACAGATAGCAATAAATCCTATATATTCTGTGTTTTTTCCTATACATATATACCTATGATAAAGTTCAATTTCTAAATTAGGCACAGCAAAAATTGACAATAATTAATAATAAAATAGAACAACTTTAACACTATTCTGTAATGAAATTGCCAGCATAGCTATCCTTGTGTTTTGTGGCCATTAGGAAGTAAAATAAAGGTTTTCTGAACACAAGCAACACCATACTAAGACAGTTGACCTGGTAAACTTCTTCAAAACATCTTGAAAGTGACTAGCAGGTGGTTGGTGGCTACAATGAGATGGACAAAGGGATAATTCAAGGCCCCAGAAGGAATTAGAGTTTATCATACTACTCACGATGGCACAAACTTTAAAATATGAATTGCTTCTAGAATTTTCCACTTAAAATTTCTGGGCCACAGTTGGCCACAGATAACCAAAAGGGTGAAAAGTGAAACTACGGATTAGGGTGGAACTACTAAAACAATTGGTAGATGTCTCCTGGTTAGTAGTACCAAAGTGATATAGTTACAAACTGATTTTTAAAAAGGAACTGCTATATGAGTTCAGTCACTAGCAACACACACACACACACACGCATGCATGTGCACACACATACACATAAAATCAAATGAGAAAGATAGTTCCCTGCCCCACTTTAGCAAGACCCTGTCTCAAAAAAAAGAGCTGGAGATGGAGCTCAGCATGAAGGCCCTGGGTTCAATATCCCATGCAAGGGAGGGAAAATGAGGGGAGGGGAGGAGAGCAGAGGAGGGGGGAGGGGGAAGCAACCCAGCTATCCCTCATCTGATGTGGGCTTCAAGATTTCAGACTTCCCAGCTTCCAGAACAGTAAGAAATAAATCACCTGCTCTCAAGTATTCTATTATAGCAGCATAAAACCAAGACAGTAGCCAAACATTACTATTCTTATCGTTTTGCTCAATACCTCAGTTCCTAAGAATATATCCTAAAGAAAGATGTAGGTTCACAGTAGTATTATTTATAACAGTAAAAAAACTAAAAGCAACCAAGTACCCAGTAATAATAGATTGTTTGGATTTATCATGGTTTATACAACAGTAAAACCATGTTGTAAAAAGACAATTAATGATATAGGATAAGACAGTGTAACAATTTGAAAAGAAAGGTATAAAACTGAATATTTAATGTGATTTTAATTTTGTATGTATAAAAAAATACTGGAAAGAAATTTAACAAATAGATGACACAGGTTATTCCTGGGAGTGATAAAGTTTCTTCTTTAAATGATCTGATTTGTAGAGCTTCTACAATTACCACAATCTCATATTATCATAAAAATATTTTGTAAAATAAAATTACATGATCTAAATTATGTCTGTTTTTTCCATGAATACCCAACATGAATTGCTACGGAAGGCCACAAGAGTTTTTTTTTTTTGAGACAGGATCTCACTATGTAATTTAGGCTGGCCTTAACTCACCATATAGCCCAGGCTAGCCTTGAACTCTTGGAGATTCTCCTGCCTCAGCCTCGCCAGTGCTGGGATTACAGGTATGCACCACTACACCTGGCTTGGAAGTCCACAAGAATTTTATGCCTAAATAAAAAGAAATATAAATCCTAGAAATAATACATACATTGAGACTGCCTACAGTTATAAGCC